AGATGGGTCTTACTTAAGTCTTCCTTCTCATGACAGGTGTGGAATACTTATCATTCAGGACCTACTCACAGCCCCTCTCTTCTCCAGTCCATTTATGATTTTCTCAATGCCCCTCCTGCTTTCACCATAAATTGAGGAATTTCATGGGCTTTGTTTCCAAATTCCATCCTTTTTCCATCTTCTCCTGGCCCATTTAAGACTTTTCCCTTCCCTCAGCTTCTCAGTCTCCATTTCTGGTAATAGGTTATTACTGCAAGCCACTGACCTCCCCTTCCACCACCAACCCCATCTGTTCTGATGAGGCAGCCTTCCATACCAGCTTGTGATACATCTTCCTTTTTCCTTCTTGGTCAAGAAGGCCCTCTAGCACTTCACACTGATTTCAGTCATGTCTATTCTCACTCTTTCAACACCCCTTTCTGAATCCTGACAGGCCTCATCCTCACCTTCTTCCCCACAAGCCTCTGTATTTAAATAGATCATCCACTGCTATTTCCATCACTTCTACCATGACCACACATATCTTTCCCTATCTTATCCTTTCAGCTTTCTACATGGATTATTCTCTGTGACATCCTGGTCCACACCTCAGTTACCCCCAACAGGCCCTAACAAGAACTTTCTGTGTACGTTCAGGAGATGCACAGAGTCATACAGCAATGGAAACAGACATCAGTCCAACCGGCACACGCTGACTATGTTTCCCAAACTAAACTACTTCCGCCTGCCTGCATTTGGCCCAGATCCCTCCAAATCTTTCCTATTCATGAACTTATCCAAATGTCTTTTAAACATTGTAATTGAACCCTCTCCAGTTTAATAATATCCTTCCAATAATAGGGTGCATAAGATGCACAGAACTGCACATAGTACTCCAGAAGAGTAAAAACTGGAATCAATGGGTATCAGGGTGGTTGGAGTCATACCTGACACATAAGAAGAGGGTTGTGGTTGTTGGAGGTCAATCATCTCAGCTCCAGGACATCTCTGCAGGAGATCCTCAGGGTAGTGTCTGAGGCCCAACCATCTTCAGCTCCTTCATCAATGACCTTCCCTCCATCATAAGGTCAGAAGTGGGGACGTTCACTGATGATTGTACAATGTTCAGCGTCATTTGCAATTCCTCGGATACTGAAGCAGTCCATATTCAAATGAAACAAGTTCTGAACAATATCCAGGCTTGGACTGAAAAGTGGCAAGTGACATTCGCGCCACACAAATGCCAGGCTATGACCATCACCAATAAGAGACAATCTAACCACTACCCCTTAACATTCAACAGTGTTACCATCACTGAATCTCCCACTATCAATCGCCTGGTGGTTATCATTGACCAGAAACTCAACTGGACTCACAACATTAACACAGCGTCTACAAGAGCAGGCCAGAAGCTAGGAATACTGCGACGGTAACTCACTTCCTGACTCCTCAAAGCCTGTCCACCATCTACAAGGCGCAAGTCAGGAGTGTGATAGAATACTTTCCACTTGCCTGGATGAGTGCAGCCCCAACAACACTCAAGAAGCTTGACACCATTCAGGACAAAGCAATCTGCTTAATTGGCACTACATCCACAAGCATCCGCTCCCTCCACCACAGACGCTCAGTAGTAGCAATGTGTACTATCTACAAGATGCACAGCAGAAATTCACCAAAGCTCCTTAGACAGCACCATCCAAACCCACAACCACTTCCATCTAGAAGGACAAGGCCAGCAGATATATGGGAACACCGACACCTTCACATTCCCCTCCAAGTCATTCACCATCCTGACTTGAAAATACATTGCCATTCCTTCATTGTCGCTGGGTCAAAGTCCTGGAATTCCCTCCCTCATGGCATTTTGAGTCAACCCACAGCAGGCGGACTACTGCAGTTCAAGAAGGCAGCTCACCATCACCTTCTCAAGGGCAACTAGGGACTGGCAATAAATGCTGGCCAGCCAGTGACCTCCACATCCCACAAATGAATAAAAAAAGAGGCCACACCAATGTTCTGTCCTCAACATGATGTCCCAACTCCTATACCAGCAAAGCCTGTTCTTTCACCTTCTCCTATCTCCCTGTCCATATTTGCAGTTCACAACGTTCTCTCCTCTACACTGGGGACAGCAAGTGTAGATTGGGTGACAGTTTTGTGGAACACTTCCATTCAATCTGCAAGCTCAACTCCGAGATTCCATTAATTCTCCACTTTGTACCCAATCTGACTGTTCTGTCCTTCACCTTCCAAGTTGCTGCAATGCAGATCAAAGCAACGTCAAGGAGTTTTCAACTCTACAGCCTTCTAGACTCAATATTGAGTTCAATGTTGGATCACAATGTCTGCCTCCATGCTGTTTGGTGTGATTTTTAAAAAAAAAATTATCAGCTTTCTTTCTTTCTTTATCTCTTCATCTTGTGTTCAGACAGCTGCTACATAGCCATTCATGCCTCACTTAAAATACATAAATACCATCATCACATGGCTGAAACCAGCGAGAGAAGAAGCCGATACCTTATTAGTCCACAAGTGCAGCTCAGCAACACTCTGGGACCAGCAATTCAGAAGCAGGGATCTCACCAGGGGGAGGAAAAAAAAAAGGAAAATAAAAACCTGTCCTGAAAGGAAAGGAAACTCTTCTCAAGTGAAGAGGTGCTAATTTGTTTTACCTACAAATATTATATTTCTTTACTACAGAGGCGCGACCATAATTTCCAATTGAGAAGCCAAAAATAGACAACACTTATTTGTCTTTGGGGAAGCAAAAGAGGATTCTTCAGGCCTGCAACGTTTTCAGCCACCTTCTGGAGGACTGTGTAAGGACTGGTTGCTGTTTTCTCTGACGAGCTATCTAACTGCACATTACATTGTTAGAAATCATCTTCCTGTGCAAATGTATGCATGTCTGCATGTTTGGGTAACACTGAATTTATATTTTTCATATTATGGAAATAAATATTTAACCTTTCTTTTGATTTAAACTTACAAGAAATCCTGGCTTTGTGCCTGTCCATTGAAATCAGAGACTCAAGCAATTAAAACACTCCAAGAAAATGCATATCGTCAATGAAGAATGGTGGTTTAAAA